CCCGCAGCGTATGCGTGTGAGCCTCGGGCTAACTGGGAACGGGACCCTCCAAAGCGTGAAGATGCGCCCGAAGAGTTGGGGGGACTCGCTTGCCACCCCGCCTCTGCCCAGCATCAGTCTCGCTTGCCCTGCATAGGCGAGCTTTTGAGTTTGAAAAAGCACCGGGTTTTTTTTTTTTTTTTTACCCGGGGAGGAGCTCTCCTGTGCGTTTTTCTTAGTATTTTCCCCTTAGCGGTTTGGACTTCAGGTATTTTACAGATCGTGCCTCTTTCCAGGTGACATCAGCAGCCGGCTTCGAATTCCACCGATACTTAAGGCAGCCTGGACCATCGCATAATAAAACCAAGACCAGCGTATAATCATCTGAAGCTAGGCTGAAACTTTACAAACTCAAATCCAGAGAAGCCCAGAACCGGGATGATGACTTGTCAGAATGCCTATTTCAACACTCAAATCCCACAGCCATTTATTTTTCTGTTGCTTAACTGTGAGCTAGTTCAGTTATTTGGTGTTTCATAGAAGCCGGTATACACACGCTCTCTGCAAGGAAATTATTCTAATAAATTAATTTATGAAGCAAAAGCAAGTAGTTCACTGTTTTACTTGCAGTCGGGTGGTACGGCGTGTGCAACTTTCCACACTACACCTTCTCCTTTCAGTGTTAAGAAAATAGTTTCATTAATATTAGTTCTAGCTACTGTTTCCGACACTTGTTTCACCAGCGTGCTCACCCTTCCCTTTCCCTGCTTGAAACCCACAGAAAGGTAATGGGCTTATGGAGGCAGGAGATGGGTCAAAACGCAGATAAACCCTGGGAAACGCTGCCCTGAATTACGGAGCTACACCCATATAGATGTGGAGCTGCAATGAATTCAGTGGTATCCTGCCAATCACATGGAAGTGCTAATATATGCCAAAAATCCTCAGTGCACAACTCCTAAACTGGTATAATAGGGGGATATGCAATGGCAGGTGGTGTTATAGAATCGTCATAGAAAGGAGGAGAGAGGTTCGCTAATACAATATGCCCGTCCTTCGTGCTGGCAGGTGACGAGGGGTCAAGCTGCTAATGAAGGTCTGCTCCATTGCGGCTGGAGGCTCAGAAGGTGGCTGCTTGAAAACCCCTTTCTTCTTCCAAGATGGTATATGGGCTGCTGCTTTTCAGGTTACTGCATGCGCACATTCTTCCAAATCCTCTGCGGAGCTCCTAAAGCACTGGACAAAAATGAGGAAAAATGCCCCGAAAAACAGCCTTTTGATTATTCATGAAACATCTTAGTAAATGGAAAATCGTGCCTCCAAGTCAAACGGAGGAGGAGATAGAAAGCAGGGTACCACGGCACAAGCTCATACGACAGGAGAACTGCATCTCCAACGGACTCCCTTCAGCTACCCTCTGCAAGATGTACATTTGACAAAAATTAATTTAGAATATGCAAGACTCCCTGTTTTGTCTCCCTGCTTACACTGGCCTTTCAGGCGCGTACACACTGCAGCACTGCGATAGCTTCTCTCCTGTTCTGCAGTGCCATGTTACCCACGACCTGCCAAACTATGTCTCCCTCGTGGTGTTACACGTGTGCGTGGGCGCAGATAGCGGCAGGGATGCAGAGCCCCGTCGGCAGACGAGCCCCAGGGCAGGTTCCCCCCCTCCTCTGATCAGCTCCTGCCCCATCTCACCCTGGGGTGCAGCGGTGTATGCACACATCGGACAACCGCAAGGCCCAAATACAGCCTTCCTCGACAATACGCAGGTTTTTAGTGCGAGTCGCCAGAAAGCGCTTCCATTTAACTACATGCAGGCAAATGTCGTTTGGTATGTCTCCATTTTCCCAGCCTGATATTCTACTGCCTACTGTGGGGGCAGAGGGAAGGCCATAAGGAGGGCAGCTGCAAAAATCTGCATGTTTCCCTCTGAAGTAAGTGCATGCTAAATATACTTTGAGAGAGAGTTAGTCTAAAATAGTAAATTAAAAGGCCTAAATAAAAAATTCCAAACAAAAGAAAAATCTTTGAACAGTAATGAATAAGTAAATAGAAATTTACTGGGCATAAAGTGGAATATAAGACAGTTTTATGGGCTATTTTTTTACTTTACAAGTAAGAAGTCAAATAAATTTAAAAAAATAATCTTCAACACAAAAAGATGCATCTAGTTTTAAAATATTTGCCTGCCACAATTCTTGCTGTTCTTAAAAAAAAAAAAAAAACAAACAAAAAACACCACCACCAAACCAAACCACCCAGTAAACAAAATATTGCGAGTGACACAGGAAGAGAACACTTCTGCCCAGACAAAGGAATCAGCTCAGCCTAAGTGCCATCCTTAAAAACCAAATAAACAACCAAACCTAAAACCGAGCAGCCAACCCACCTGCCTTCCTGTCAGTGTTTCCCTCTCTAGTCAGTGGAAACCGTTTTAAATGTCATATTCCAGTTGGGACTCTTTCCATATATTTATATATATGGACATCTCGTGTACGTTCACTTTTGCGGGAGGGAGGGTTCATGTAACCTAGAACAGCCTCTATCACTTTAATGTTTATTCTCAGAATACTGCTATTTATGACACCGCTTGTGAGAGTTGTGCGATTCAGTTATCAGCATAACTGAATTCATTTTCTTAAGGTCAGTTGTCTTCTGTGGATATTAGGGTCTGAATAATATTGAAAGGGAGCTGGCAGGGGAATTTTCAGCATTTTGGTTTTTGTACACATTCAGAATTCAGCACTACTATAAATTTTTATTTTCTTTTTTTTGAATCTCAATGAGAGTATCTGGTAATCAATGGGAGCCAAATTTCACCAGAGAATTTTTGCTGTCCTAGCAATTAATATCTCAGTAGTTTTACAGTATGCAGCCATAAACCTTTACCGACACTTTTCCTACACTGTTAATTCCCACCGTCCTTTCTCAAAAAAGGCCTTCCAGAACTTAAGACAGGTTTGTAAATGTATTTTTATTATGTTGCAACAATCAAAATATATATGTACTACTGATTTTCCCCCCAAATATTAAATGAAAAGTAATACATTTTTTGCCCACATTGTGTTCTTGAATACTTTGGAGTCTGTAAAGACCCTGACATAAAGAAACTGAAGCAACTGCACAATTAGAGACTGAAAGGTGTTATAGTGCTGCACTTACATTGCAAACGAAGTCAGATGTCTCTGTTTAATCAAATATACCCTCAACAGTCTCTGTTTTGTGAGTATTAGAAACAATAAACAAATATACACAGAAAGCATCACAAACAGTAAATTGGTTATTTAAATACAACTGTATCCAACATAGCAGCTAAACACTGGACAATGTTTGAGGTCATCAGCACATCCACATGCTCTTCTAAATGACGTTTGGGGTCCTGAAATACAAAGGATGCCATGAGAGAAATGACTGGAACACATCTCAGAAGGATTTAATTTACTTCAGGTCTATTAAAGATGATTGCGAGTTAAGGAACACAGTCCAGTAATGCTCCTACATTTTCCATTCTAGCAAGACCTAGCAAATGACTGCATTTCCCTAAGTAAGATTTTATTAGTCCATCCTATCACTCAGATAAGTTGAGGATACGTTTAGGAAGTAAATTTCTATCCAGCATCTGAAGAGTAACCATGACAGCTGTGAGTTTTAAGGACAACATACAATATGTGGAATTTACTATGCATCTCACTAAGGCCAATATTTTAATCTTAGTTCTGGTACATTGCAATTTGTTTTCAGATCTTTGTACAAATGTGTTTTCTAATCCTGTAAAGACTCAAGCATGATCTAACACAGTCTTTGAATAGTTGTGTTGACTGCAAGAAAATTAGCATATTTATACCCATAAAAATAAAAAAAATGCACAATGCTATGTTCAAATTTTCTGAAAAGTTGAACGTTAAGCCTTAGCAGTGTTCTGAAAATACACATCCCCACACACTATTACTCAATTGATGTAGGCATTTGTGGGCATCTGCGTAGAACAATATGATTATTTCTGGTTGAAAAACTGAACCCGTACATTACTTCTTTTTCAGAATTAAGTAATTAATATTGCAAAATTATCAGGCACGTTTAAAAAACATCTCTCAACTTCATTGTAGTATTACTGTAGCATTCTTTTGTATAAAGAAATTAATATATGGAAGACAATAATGTGTGGGAATTTTAACTTTTTTAAAAAAAGAACTATTGTCAAAATCTAATGAACCCATCTAAGTTCATATAAAAGCGTACTAGAAAAATCTGTGTAAGCTGTCCTTAAATAACTAATTTTCAAAGACCATATAGTTCTCCAATATTCTCTCTGTTCCTAGCGAATTATGCAACCTAATAACATAATATCCCTATTGTGAGCAGCTGTTTGTTTACAATGCTTTTATATAAACAGTATAAAAAAAACTACATGGAAATTGCTTAACTGAACCTTTTTGTAATTTAAAGAAAACATAATAATTTTATCAGGAAAAAAATCTTTGCTTTTTAAAAAAAAATTATAAAAACAGATTTTTTTCACGTATGTGTGATGATTTAAACAACTAGTGAAGTTCAAGTTCTGATTGAGATGACATCATAACCCTTAAAATACAACCCTTCTTACATGTTCTGTTTTATATATGTATTTATGTATGTGTAGGTGTGCATAAACTCCATTGTTCTGAATGCTACAGAAATACACGAGTGACTGAACAATAGTGCAGATGTGTTATGACATAGCTGCTAGAAGCTGACACATAAGAGCAATCCAGAAGCCTTTAAATTCTGCTTCTGCTACTAGCAATACAAAAAATACTGGTTCTTTAAGGACACACTGGATAACTTTAAAGTTATTTCTTGTTTCTATTGCCCTTCTTGAATTTGAACACAACCTCTTACAAACTTGTTTTGCTCTCCTCTCCCTCACCAAAGTGTATTTCCTCAACCTTTATGTTGAAGTCAAACGTAGAAATAGTTTTATGTCAAGTCTTCTATAAAGACATTATATCCTCATATTGCAAAGGCACAGAATGAATTGAGTGGGTGTTTTCAGTGTCAGCTATGGTCCTAAACTGCTCTCCCTCAACAGCAATACAAAGCAACGCAGCTCACTTGCATACGTGTGTATCGGAGCTAAGCACTGACAGTGGACTCGTGAACTGAGGAGAGGGATGAGATGGCTCTTTAGCCATGATAACATATAAACAACACTCCTACATTTTTCAATTATTACTATTTTTTCAAAGTCTCCACAGTTTTGGCCTCTCTGACACTGACTTGGATATCTTTATGCCTCTTCTTGGAAAGAAGTTAAAGAAAAAAATAACAAAAAAGAAAAACTACCAAATCTCAACATTGCTCCTCAGCATGTGATACAGATGCACGTAGAACACGACTTGCAGATATTCTACTGATTACCTATAGTCAAAAGCTTTATTCCTTACACAACAATCTTCAACAAAAATAAATTCATTACTTGGAGTGTTGAGAATATCTTGCACGTAGAACTAAAAATCACCTACGCACATGTAAAAAAAAATTAATATTTAGAATGAACGAGCATATCATTCCACCTCACTCTAATTCATCACACCTCACCTGCTTGCCAACATTTTTTATTGCCAGCTGTTCAGGTGTCATCTTATCTTCTTCTTCAACAGCCTGTGAAAGAAACACAGAAAAGGTCAGTGTTTCAGATTTCATATACTTTTTCCCCGAGCCACAAGATTCTCAAAATATAATTCTCATTCTCAAAAAAAAAAAAAAAAAAAAAAAAAATCAAACAGCAACACATTTCAGAAAGTCAAAAGGAAAGGTACTTCAGCTTTTCAGCAGACGTGGTTTTAATTACTAAGTGTTAGTGCAAAAGATCAAGGCAAATACTCATGAATGGCTTTATTGTCAGATATTCACAAAACTGTTTTTGAGCAAAAATATTAAATGAGCAGTTTCAATAGTTAAAGACAGTTGAAGATAGTTAAACTAGTAAAGCATAACAAAGAACATTACATACATTGTTTCAACTACTGGAGGTTTGATCTCAATAAATTGTTACACTGTTTAAAGTCACTTCTTTTGATACATTTTTATAATATTCTGTTGCTTTCAAACACGGTGTCTATATAAATCCACTAACTTAACTAGTGAAGGTAATATTGAATTTGGTTTTTAAAGACTTCTTAGAAGTTTTAAAAAAAATAGCACTCATCCAGAATGACTGACGTGCTTACTACTCAGAGTTCTTGTTGAGATCTAGTATTTATAAAAAATATTTCTAAGTGTAAGTGCCAGTATTAAAACAGTACAAATAACTGTGATTCCTCTTTCTTACAAAAAACATTGCGCTGGGCTCTAGAATGTGTTCGAAATACTTACTGTCTTGTCTACTGGAATGATATAGACAAATAACCTTTATTCTGCTATACTGGTCAAGTAGTCCTTGACTGAAGGAATGAAGAATACAATCAACTGCTTATTTTGATCTACAGGAACCTTATACTCTCTTTACTAAGTAGAAATATAAAATTGATGTGATCACTCAAATTCCAAAGCAAAACATGTAATTAAACGCTTGGCTAGATCAGGGCAAAGAGTCGGGTGGCAAAGCCCAAAGAGCTATAGGCAACTTCACAGAGAAATGATACATAGCTGATTAATAAGAAACAGTCTCCACAAGGCCATTAAAGACACACTGGTGCCTAATTTAACCAAATCCCAGGAAACTCTTTGCTGAAAACAGATTATACAAATCAAATAACCACCAAGGTCCAAAAGAATTCCTGCAACACTTCTTTTGTTCTTATAGTCTGGTCCTTCACAAATTCTGAGTAAAGCTTCTAATAACCAACTCTTTACTTCTCAAATCAAGTAGCAAATTTCTTCACTTCATAAACACAGCTACAGTTATACTATCATTTAGGGATATCAATACCTTGTTATAATTCTTAGCTAATTCTAACATCTCCTTCACTACTGTTTCATTGAGTTTGCAATGTTCACTGTAGTCCTGAAGTGTCAAACCTTCCATCCAACTCTTCTTATGCAAGTTTAGTAACATCTGCAAAACAAAATCTCTTTAGAGCATTCATCGTAAAATGCATTCATAGTGCTATGAAGAGCTCTGACAGAAAACCCATTTATAATAGTAAGAATATAATAAAAAATTATTGTTAAATACAGGAAACACAATAATCAACTATTCTGCTAGAGCAGGCAATAGATTTTGCGTAAGTTTTTAAAGATTAGGCTTCTTGAACCCTAAATATGAAAATGAGGCATGGAAACCAGGGTCACATTTACTTTGAAGGGAATACTTAAGTTTTCTTTTGTAATTTTTTGGTTTTGCTGTAGGTTGAGAATGCATAATGGCATTGCAGAACTAACAGGAAGGTGAGTATTTTAGCTGCCAAATAAGGAACGGCTGAAGCTTCTGGCCTCTGAAGAAGCTGAAAAATATTTTAATGTTTGGATTAAGTGTATTAAGTAGTTATTTGGGCTTCCCTGATTATCCTGAACTGTTTGCAAGCAGCTGCCACAGTTGTGACGAAGTCAACTTCAAAAGCAACCAAAGCATAACTTGTGTGTGTTTGTCCTCCGAACAGCCCTAAAACTAACACGATAAAGTGATGCAGAGTTTTGATGGTGATAAACGTGGGGACTATTAGAAACACCTGAAATGTTTTACTTGATACTCTGATGTCATTCTTGAAAGAGCGAAGGAATAGCTACAAAGGCAATTTCCTGATTTTCATGAATAAAGAAAGCATATTTTATGGATCTTCCGTGCCTTGAGGCCTGTAGAGAGGACCTTTTCAGCAAACAGTTTCAGCTTGCCTTCAATTTGCGAACACTCACTGCAGATGTCTTTGAGAACCCGTAAGCCCTGTAATTGCTATTGCCTGAATAAAAGTGCCTGTTTCATCCTATGTACAGCTTCTAAAGAAACCTGGCTTTGGAACATATGAACTGAGTTGAAAGTTTGTGTCATAATTTGTATTAACAAGATCTTAATTACTGACAGAAGGAGTTGTAGGCAAACTGCATATGGACAGTTTAGCTAGGTTATCTGGATTTTAAAATTATGGTTTGGTGTGATGGGCTCCTTATCTAATACATGAAGCATGTACTCTTCTTACCACAGATGGAGATAACAGATCACCACCACCACACGAGGGGGGGGTGAGATATGTATGAACCTGCCTTATGAAAGATGCGTTGAGATAGTTGCTGCTTCACAGATTAAAGTTTCCTTAACTCGGTCAAGATTATTCTCCCACTTGCACAGGTAATGACTTACATACGTAAAGCCACGACAGAAAATACACACTTGGAACTTCAGAAAAGACTGGACTGGCCACACTGTTGTACTGAACAGAAACCGTAACCTCTGGAAGCTTCACGGACATTTTCCGAGAGCACTGGTTTTGTTGAATCAGTTGCTCTTAAGTCACAGAGAGGTCTTGAAAGCCTGATACCATTCTTAAAAGGGTTATGCATTTCACAAATTCGTTTCAGCTCCCTGATTTGCATGCATACTCTTCCATTGTCCAAAATTGGGTTTTTAAATTACTTCTAGACCTCTAAAAGTCAAAATTAAGTGAGAAAACTATTCTGACCATTTTATCATAAACTCCAACTCCGAGATTAATTTATAACCCTAACAAGGCCATGAACATACACAAGCATAACTGAGGACAGAATCTGGCTTTTCAAGAATTAACTTCTCCAGATGATATATAAGCTTTTTTCAGTTTGTCTTCCTGATCGAGACTGTCAAGCTAGATTTTACTTGTAACTGAGGAAGTTTGGTACAAAAGTAACTGACAGTATTTGTTGTCAGTAACTGAATGGTATTTTTTCTGTAAACGCAGAATGTCACTACTTCCTGATACTCAACGAAGTCTTGGGGAGCTCCATTCATACCAACTGGAAGCACCTGTCTGTCAAAGTGACTATAGCCAATAAAAAACTGAGATTCCTTGGTTATACAATTTGATTTTGGAAAATACAGTTTTCTAACTTCAGGACTTCCAGCCTGTGAAAACCTAAGGCAGCTAGCATGTCTTTCGGTTTCATCACTGAAAACTTGGAACTTTGCACAAACCTGTTAAGTGCAGAGAACAGCATAAGGACTTTCATAAAACATGTGGACAAAATTGTTGTCAAACTCTATATATGCATATTAGAATGTGCTTTTGGAAGATTTCATCATCATGACTACACATCTAAGTGCTTTCTGGAAGAGAAACCATCTACTCCAGGAGACTTAAAACAACTACTGAAAACATCAGCAGCTGAAATCAGGATATTGCCACAAATCTTAAATAGTTTGTATAGTGTTCTTTGTCCTCTGAATAAAAGCTAAAACAATTACCTTCTGTTCTAGTTCATTCTTCCTGTAGTTGATGGTGATGGAATAGTAATGTCTGTTTAGTCCATGAATTAGTGCCTGTAAAATTCAGGGAAAGTTTGCATAAAAATTACCCACCATTGGAATGAAGAAATATTAGAAGGGAAGAGTTCATTTAAATAAAGCTGTCTTCAAACATCACTTAAACAAAAGAAAACACACAAATAAGCAAATACACAGAGACTGTAAGGAGGCATCAAGTAAATATACCTGTTCTTATTTCTCTTTCAGTGTTTTTTAACTGACAGTTATACTTTCTATTTCTAAACCACGGATTTTTTCACACAGTAACAACTATCATGGGAAAAAGTGGTAACTGCCTGCAAACATTTGACCGATACATATGCACAAACATATTTCTCTCAAATCCTTCCTCTCTCAATAAATTTGGTTATCACTTCTATTAAAATATAAGGCTCTTTCTGTTACAAAAGAATGTTAGCTCTCTATTTATTTACAACCACTGCCAACATTCCCAAGTTCATTCTCTAAGGTACCATAAAAAGAGAGAGTAGCTGAAGCAGTGATTAAACACGTCAAGTATTGGTTAAACTATGCGCATGCGCAGCAAATTAACCTTGCACATTAAAGCTAATTTTCTTTAGCTTTAAATGAAAAAAGGCCTCTCTCGTTACATTTATGTCCTTTGCAAATTTGTCCTTAAACTTGTGTCACAATCAGATCGACTGAGATTAGGTTAACTGACACTTCTATGCATGGATCTTCTATTTTGCTCATGTGCACTACATATTTTTATTTTTTTATTATTTTTTTTTACATTTATGACTTGAGGGTGAGTTGGATTACTATTCGTGGGTAAGAAAATTCTATGATAAATCCTCATCACAACTACAATTGTCTATTTTTCAAATAAAATTCTACATATGAAGTATACATTTAGAAATGAGATATGGTAAATCATACATACAATATGCAGAATTAGTGGTAAATATTTCTTATGTTTCAATTATTCCATGTATTTATGTTTAAATATAGTCTTTAGAACTATACAGAATGAATGTCTATTTGCAGCTTATGCAACTTAATATTTCAGCATTCCAAAATTATCTGTATGAAAGCTGAAAGTGTTCTCATACATACATTTTAAACAGATTTCTTTTGCGAACACATATACAAAGATACAAAATGACTTGAATGGTTACATTTACAAGAACCAGCTGTTACAGATAACCGTTACTTGTGCCACTTATTACAATTAGAACTGTAAAGTACAGGTTTTATCATCAATAAAGTAATTTATGGTTGAAACTATCAGCAATAAGTAGCTTCCACTGCCATTTTCTTACCCCAATCAAAATGGTTGCATAAGCGGTTTTGGGGTTTGTGTTTAAACTCAGTTGTAGATATTTAGGGAGTTCTCTAAAACTCCTAAAATTTGACAAACATCTTTACCTTCCCCCATTATCCTCTCTCTCTCTCCTCTCCCCTTCTGAAGTCACTCTTTAAAAGATGGGACAAATGTAAAAGGTAAACAACTGTTCCACTTCAAACTTGAACAGTAGTTGTAGTTTAGCCACTGCAACAGGTTAAATTAAACCCCATAATATGCTTTAAAGCAAAGCTGGCGCTTTGTGTGTTTTGTTTCAAAGGGAAACGATCATTCCAACAAGCTTTACAAATTCGATGCACGTAGAGCAAGTAAAAAAGATGTTGATAAGGGGACACAAGAAAAACCATAAAAAAAAAGGAACGAAGTCAAGCCATATACTATTCTTATTCCTGAGATTTTAAGGAATGACTTAAAATCCCTGCTTCTAGCCCAGCTGATGTCAATATTAAGTTTGCTGCTGACTTCAACTGGGTCACAATTTTATTCACGACCTTAGGATAACAGCAAAAGAACACTGCAAGAGCCCTTGCAGTTTTACGAACAGAGTATAATTTTGAACAATGATTTTTAGTTTAACAGTGACATTTGCAACTTCTCACTGCCAACTTGCAAAAAAAACCAACACGAACAACAAATACCCACTGCAACAACAGAAACGCAAAACTCCCATGGCCAAAATATGCCATGCTGTAGTGACAGTGATATTAAAATAATGAAGTTGAACAATACTACAGGGGTTTACAAGGGAGGTCATTACACACGGTCCAGAACAGCCCAGTTAGAAAAGCCCCGAAGTGTGCAAGCACAGGCTTGCCTATATCTAATCAAGAGTATTAGCTGCTTATTTCATACTCATTAGTTTGCAGTTTTTACCAATTCAAAAATCAAAAGTAGAACACAACCACCTCCTGAAGCAGACACTCTTTAATTGTCTGATTTTTTTGGCTAGCATTTTTATAAATGGTAGAGGGCTTCAATGCATTAGTAATAAAAAACAACTGATCTTTTGTAAGACAGGGGTTTGGTGACCTAGTAACTCCCAAAGGATGGCTCTCTTACAGTAGAAATTTAGCCCTTATTTCAGTTCTACTATGAGCGTATGGTCTTTTTCTTGGATGTTTATCTAGCAAATATTACTTTTATTGTTCAAGTAACAGATCAAAAGAGCAAGAATTAGGCTTCATGGTTGCAAGTGCATATGCCTTTTAGAATGCACAGTAAGGGAAAAAAGTTTTCTGGAGAGAAAAAAGGAAAAACATTGACGCAGAAAAGTGATACAGATAAAAGCATTAATCACTCCAGAGGATACTTGTTTCAGGACAGAAGCTATTTCTCAAAATAAAGGTTTGCTTCGTTGAAGACCAACATTTTTGTCTTACTAGTGAAAGTCAACTTCAGAAATCAAACTTTGAATATTTAGTTTCACAAGTGCTTGCAAAAAACGTAAGACAACATACTCAAATGAAACATTACAGTTGAAGCCGATCAAACATCCTATTTATCCATTTTATCCACTCCACCATTTTTTCAGTAAATTACCCCATTATATAAAAATCAGAGGTTAATTATTTAAGACACAATAAAAGGTTAAATCCAGATTAAGCAAGAACCTACATAAGCACACAATAGAAAGACAAGATTATTAATGAAGAGGGAACCTCTTCCATAATTTGCTTCAGAATAATTTATCGTTAGGAAAACCAAGATGTTAATAAGCAGCAGTTTTTAAATTGCAGTCCCGAAAACAGTACCTGTCTTGCATCACATGGTATGACATCAATTGTCACTTTTAAAAGTTTGCATTTCCATAAATCTGTACTTTAACCTTTTCAGTATATACTTATACAGGCATTCACACTTAGGTAGCTAATTTAGGTCTCAATTTTAAACCCTTCACATATATAACTCCATTGATGAATCACATCAATTATAAATGCATGCAGAAAAATGCTATAGAGAGAACAATAAACAATTAGTAGCTTACTGTTTTTCGGTACCTTTCCCCAAAATTGCTGAAAAAATCTTGCAATTTACAGGACTATCAACACTGGGTTTACCTGGATAGATGGCTTGTTTAAGTGACCCAGATTTGAAGTTGTTTGTCTTGGTTCATGTCCCAAGACCATCATATTAGCATTGATCAACCTGAAGGCATCAATAACAACCTGTAAAAACAAGATGTCAAGTCAATTCTTTTTAGAAAATGCAACTAATAGTGCCAAGCAACAGTGGACAAGGCACAATCAACTCTCATCTGGTTTTGGCCCTTATCCAGAAAATCATTTAATTATAATATTAATAAAAAAGAGCCTCCTGCTGGCTATGCTATCAGCACACTACACTACCTTGTATTGTACGGTGACACCAATTATTACCTTTTCCATGGAGCTGTAAGTTTTATATACATGATATCATCATATAACATTGAATTTTTATGTACGCTTACTCTAAGTTTCAAAGGTATGCATATGTTTGTCACCTAAATCTTATCCAATCAAAATGAATGACAGAGAGAGACTAAAACTGAAAGTGAGCACAAGCTAAGGGACCGAGTCTAAAGCCCAGTCCTGTCACATCAATTATACTACCACAATACTTGAAATGACAACAAAATTATAGCCAGCAAGGAACTTGCCCCATGTATTCCCTTCTAGTCAGATGCTTTTTGCTTCTTGTGACTACGAAAGGGTCTATAAACTGTCTGATGGATTAAAAAGTCCTTGTCAGTGTCATGCTCAGGAGTAAAAAATAGAGGAAAAGAAAACCAAGGTCATTTATGATTTAAAGCTACATGGTGGGTAGTATTCAGTGCTATTTCATTGCAAATACAGTAAAAACATCACTGATTTTTATTTTGTCCTGTGCTGAATTTGTCTACGAAAATCTTTGGAAATAGTATTTCATGGCCCCATACAATAAACCCCACGCTCTTCTCCAACACCTCCATGAGGTGGAACAGAACCGAGAACATACCGACAATACTCTCAAACCCGCCCTTACTGGGTACTCGCCATTACAGAGTCATAACTGCAAGGTAAGATTTCTCCTTTAGGCCCCAGTCTTTTAGCTGGACCAGTGCATGTACAGGCTTGCACACCCACAGAAACAGCAGCAGGCACACTTTGCAGGCATCTTGTCCACATATGTTTGAAGAGTTATTCTAGTTCATTAAACTAAACAGTTTAAAACGCCTTTTAACAGCTTTTCTACAATCATTTTTATTCTCATCCTCTCCATACTATGGGCTGGACAACAACAGATGCATTTATATGGCTGGTTTGATATGTTGAGGAATTAGATCTGAATCAAATCTTTTACACTGAACAAACAAGAAATCAACCACTGTCACTGCAAGTCTGCAGAGAAAGCCACATCGAGTCTTTCACCTTGTTCTACCATTTTCCTATCCTTTTATGCAAATATTAATACCTAAATATGTATGCAATTTATTGGGAGCACAATATAAATATTGAGGTAATTAATGTGGAAATAAAATTAATTGGCAAGTATTTATAATAAAAAACATTATCAAAGTGTGAACTGAAAAAGCCTAATAACTTATCACCTGTTGTATTTACTTTTGAGACCCAAATATTTCAGTTGTGTTGAGTGACTCATTGCCACTAAGGGCTATTGCCCGGACCCTCAGCTGACTGGCCAGATCCAACTACGTATGTCATGTCTTACAACTGCATGCAGAACGTACAAAAAAATAATCATCTTTATTAAAAATGTTAGGTTGTGACCCAATTAAAGTGATTTAACAGTGACATTTTTTTCTGAACAATAACAAAAACAAAACGCAATTCACATTTAATATGCAGCAAAAGCACGCTACCTGATACTAAAGTTACAAAAAAGGAATTACATTTAAAAAACTCCTGTAATTCTCAAAAAGATCTGAAACAGTTTCTGTATAGCTATACAGTCTTTGTGGTAACATACAAAATAATTGTATTTTTTCCTTTTTTATCACTATCAGATTTTTCTCTATCCCAAAACACTTGTGACAAGCTTTTGTATATATATCTCGGTTCCATTTTAACCAGATGCTCTAATTCAGGAACACCTGGAAATGCCCAACCATAACAAACAGGCAGTATAAATTAAAAAGTCAAGCAAAGCAAAAAAAAAACCCACACCACAGATTCACTAGAGACTAGCTAGATGAGGGGAAAAAAAACCCAGGCAAGTAAAAATTTACCCTGAGGAGTAAGAAACATGAACTTGGCAGTATACTATCGTCACCAGGCGCTGCTTTATAACTAATGGCCATACTTCTAGATTTGAGTTTAACCGAGAACTTCACAGACAGTGTTAACCTTATTCAAGAACGAATGGCACCGTCCAGCATGGATTTGTTTTGCGACTGAGTCATGTAAAATAAAAAGAAAACACAAAATTAAAAAACTGATTAAAATTGGTTTGGAGAACAAATTCAACATTTCAGTTGGTGTTCTCAAGGTTATGTTTGGATAAATTTCACATTAAAACATGAGAACTAGCAGCTAAAATATTTTTGAGTGATACTGAATATTACTCCAGCATCTTAATTCTGACCAGCAGTAATTTCCGTTATGTTTCAGGTACTACCTACGTGGGAAAGGACGGCCAGCTCTGTATGTCCTCCTGAAGGAATGACGTGCAAGTATTTCCTAAGCAGAACAAATACCAATCTAACAGAAAGTGGTATGAAATATTAAAATCACAAATACTAAGCTTTAAACAGGGATAAAATTGCAATATCTTCTATCTCAGAGAGGTACAAAAAGTACATGTGTGAATGATATTTCTCATCTCAGTTGCACTGTGACAACCAATGGTAACTAAATACTTTAACTACACTAAGATTAAAGGAATTTGCTGCTATCACTATAGCAACCATCTTAAAGAAACTAACATGCTCAACAACCTGGAGGCTAATTTTAGACCTAATACGCAATAAAAACATAAATACAACAATAAATCCTACATAATCAATGCTATGAAATGTAATTGCTTTTTTTCACAGTGAGCACAAATCAGTCCCCCTTTAAAGGATTATATCAAAATAAATAGACTTATTAATGTCCAGTGCACTAATGAGCAATGGGCGAAGTAGGTGTTAATTACGCCACAGTAAGACTCAAGAAAAAAAACCCTAGTGAGCACCTGGAGGTGTGTACAAGCTGAAGTCTCCTCTCTAGGCTTGTGTATTTTGAAGTACAGCATGATGCAACCAGATGACAGCAACATGGTCACCCCGTATTCTACGGTGGAAACTTTAGACACAGTATTCTGAACAAAGAACCTCTAAGGATTAATTAAAAGCAGCACAAAAACTCACTCAGTTACAGTTACTTAGATTTTTGTTGTAAGAAGTCAGCATTTCTCATCTAAATCCACTAAGCTTTCATTGCACTTCCATTACCTAATGCATCGTGCACTGTTTTCAGTAAAAACTAAAGTTTCCAAGCTTCATGCTAAATTCCCTTTCTGTATAAACATAAAAAAGTTAACAAAAGTCTATGCCATCAGGATATTTTCCAGAAATATGAAGGTAGATTTATTTTTTTTAAAATGCACTTCCCTAGTGCAACTCTTTCACCACTCTGACCATTTAATTTTTCCTAGTACAAGTGTCTTCAGACTTTTCAGAGGTCATTTCAACAGCAGACAGCTTATAACAAAACCATTAGCAGTTTGGCTAGCTTAAGGAAACCTCTTACTTTCCTTTTTTGTTTATTATCACTGCATGAATCTGCAGCATATGAGAGTTTATAATTTCTCAGGCTTGTTAAATTCATGTTAAAGGTCTGTTTTCTTGTTGAATAAATTTTGTTCATATAATGCTGCCTATTTCATATACTGAGTCTTTAATAGCACCTTTGGTCTATGCGCAACTCACAGATCAAAACAGAGGACTAAAATAGGGGTTGATGATGCTATTTACATTTGTGATTCCTGATAATATAATAGAAGACCTTGTCTGTTTTGTAATTAACACATCTTTACTGGAGAGATATTTGGAAGTGATTGCTGTGAATATACTGGTTAGTAAAATAAACACAATCACACACCACTTTCTGTTATCAGACAAATTTGTGAATTGTACACATTATACTCCAGATCAACAAACTGTGATATAACAGCCAAGTAGAAGACACATTTATATAACCCTTTATTTTTCTGAAAATATGTATTCAATCTGACCTTGCAAATATAATTAGCTTGTGGGATGTGTGGATTTCAGTACCATGGATGCTTTACTAATTGCAGCTCTTGGAAATAGATACTAAATATTTGGAAGCTGCCAATACAAAATAAAAACTGCATCTTTTTGTACATCTGTCTTAGCTTCAAAAAGCATAATAATCTAAAAAACAATAACTATACAGCATTTTTAAAGCAATTCCCCGGGGTCAACAACCCACAGTAGAGCCCGTATAATGTATTTTTAGAAACAAAATTTACAATTATCTTCAGTGTACTTAAATTTGAGGATAGCTATAATTAATATGATTCATAGTTATTCACAACCCAGAGACAAGTGCTGGACTCCTCAATTGCTAACTAGATAAAAATCTGGCCTTTTATAGTCTGCACATAGTTATTAAAAATAATGGCTTGATTAAAATTTAGGATGCTTAGTAGCCAGACATATTTTAGCTTCTTCTGAGAGTGTGAATGCCATATATATACTACCACTCTTTCTAAAACAGTCTTCATATCTTTGTGGGGTGTTCTTTAAAAAAAGAAATATTAAGAGAATTTCAAGTGTACTTTACACACTTGATTCCATTAAACCCCTCCAATATCAAATCTACAAACAATATTGAAAGTTGCAAAACCCACTATATTTTAACGGTGAACTTCAGTTAGAAATAAGTCAGCCTTTTTGTTTAAATTAAAAAAAAAATCTAACATCAATATTTTTTCCAGTGAAGAATCTATGGCATATGGTGACTATCTTTAAAAATGTATTGTGTCCTTGGAATTCAAATAGTGATGTATTGTTTATGCCATATGTTTATGAACAAACATACCAGTGCTTAAAGAACACTCTGCAAAGGATATAATGTGGTTATGCCAGGTGTGGAAAAAGAAGTAATGTCCCATCTAAAATCTCTTTTATCACCTGCAACTGACCTGTTATCAACTAGATTTCTAGATTCTTTAAAAATGA